TCATCTACTCCATGGAATACTACTCAGCTATTAAAAAAAACAAAATGCAGTTCTTTGTGGCTAAATGGGCACAACTGGAAACTATAATGCTAAGGGAAATGAGCGAATCCCAAAAGATTAGATACCACATGTTTGCCTTGATTTAACCTGTAATTTTTTGTTTGGTTGTATGTTATTTTTTGAACCTGTCATTGATACTGTCTCAACCCAGATGTTTCGAAGAATGGAACTTGCATTATTTTTAACATTGTTTACCCAATACTATGTCAATTAATTCCATAATGTTGTATAATGATACTGAGGCCTTGTTGGGGCTTTTAACTGACTGGATCTTTACTCTGTTAGACCTATCTTCAGACCATAGAAGGTCTCCCCAAGAGGCCACTGAACTTATCTGGACAATAAGACGCTGAACTTTATGCTAGGCATGTGTTTGCAAGCAATGAATCTCAACTGAACTTGAACTATGGTTATGCAACAAGGTGGAGGAATCCACCATGGGGGGAGGGGTATGGGAGGGGTGGGGGGGATCCCCAGCGCCTATAAAACTGTACTACATAATATAATGTAAGCAACAATAAATAAAAAAAAAAAAAACAATTGCACAGCCTGGATGCCATCACATTATATAAACTGTTAATAAACCACTGCCAGTCAGACACATCTATTTACTTTATTAAGTGAACAGTGGAGTCTGTCCACCTACCCACTATTCACACCATGTCCCTTGCTGCAAGTCACTCCTCCAAAGTCACTCCAAGTCACTCACTGCTATTTCCTACAGAATCCAAGCCTCAAGAATTCACCCTAGGTTTGGTTCACTCCGGTCTCTGGCCTTCTCTGTCCTAAGTTTTGGTGGTAATCCTGTGACAGGAGAAATAAGTCAGAAGACTGATTATCAATCTTGGGTATGGTGCTTATTAACTGGCACATAAATTTCTTCATCCGTAAATTGGGCTACAAATCCTTGAATGCCTCCCAAAGACTTCATGAAGATGTGAAAAATATTTAAAAGTTCCTTCTGTCATATACAAATATTCAATATATTTTTCTGTATCTTTAGCATTTGGTAAGGTACTATTCACAAATCAAGTACCCAAATGTTGGCTTTGAACAAACTACAGATCATGGCTGGAAAATTTTGCAGTCATTTTCACTGTCTGATTTAATAAATATTCACAATTGTGTCAGTGAATGATCCTTTCTTAAAAATAAACAAAGATTTACTATGTATTTGAAAGGGGAAGAGAGAGGGGAAGAAGGAAGGAGGGAGAGATAGAGATAACGATCTTCCATCTCTTATTTCACTTCAGACACTCACAATGGCCAGAGCTGGGCTAGGCCAAAGCCAAGAGTTTCATCAAGTCTCCATGAAAGTGGCAGGGACTGAAACACTCGGGCCGTCTTCTGCCGCTTTTCCCAGGCCATTATAGTAGGGAGCTGAGTTGGAAACAGAGCACCGTTTGGAAAGCATGTACAGAGACCTTGTGATCATAAGCTCTGCTCTAGCTGCATTCTGGTCCTCTACTGGGAAATAGAGGCAACAAGAACATTTCAGTACCAGAATCAAACTGGTGTCCATATGGCATGCCAGTGTTGTAGGGGTGGCTCTGTTATAGCACAATGGGAGCCCCAACAATTCTTAACTGAATTTCACAACACATGAAACAAGTCCTAGAACCTACTTTCCCTTCAATCTAACAATTCATAACACATCGGCTAGGTGCCTTGTTTTCCCATTTCCACACAGACTCTGTCAATTGTTTCTTAGAGAAAGGAACCAATAAAAGGATGATCAAGCAAATACACCTGTCTTATAGTGGGAAATGCTTAGAAACTAAGAAGCTGGCATGTACATGAGCTATAATTAAAGATATCATCATTCTCAATACCAGAACCATTATAATAAACTTCAAGTTACAAAGCTGCATTGTAAATTCTTTTTTTTTTTAATTTATTTTTATTGGAAAGGTAGACACACAGAGAGGAAGAGAGATAGAGAGGAAGATCTTCTGTCTGCTGATTCACTTCACAAGTGGCCGCAATGGCTAGAGTTGATCCAATCTGAAGCCAGGAACCCAGAACCTCTTCTAGGTCTCCCACATGGGTTTAGGGCGAGCTGGATTGGAAGCAGGGTCACCGGGATTAGAACTGGTGCCCATATGGGATCCTGGCATATACAGGGCGAAGACTTTAGCCACCAGGCTACTGCATCAGGCCCAGATTGTAAACTTTTAACACAAGTGTACATATTCTCCTTTTATTAACTTTCAATAAACAAACAAACAAAACTCAAAAATGCAGTAACTCAACTCTTCTGGCTATTTGATTGCTAATGTGATAACTGAAAAGTCAAGTTGGTAATTACACATTATTTTTGCAAGTTCTTCCAAATTTAGAGTATCTGTTTTATGTATGGTCACTGCATTTTGTGCAACTTTAAATTCTACTTCCTTAATAGTATCTTCTCTCCTCTTAAATGAGGTTATAATGAAAATTTTAATCACATCACGGGTGAGCAGAGGGAAGTTAAGCCTGGGAAAAAACATACTTTAAATGCTTATAGCTTTTTTCTCTTCCCCTTTAAAAAATTGGATCCCATGCTAATAGTGGGTCAAATTCTTCAATACCTCCAGAGGGAAAATTTTGACTCAACAAAATCAAACAAAAGGAAAATTGCAGAATAAAATGCAACAGTGACTCTTACTAATGAAGGCTATAAAATCAGCATTGATTTGTGTAAATGAGAAGGCGGCAAAGTGGGAAGAAGTTTATAATCTTATCAGCACTTCTAAGACAAACATGCCTGAAAAAAATAAAAAGAACAAAACTGAACTGAACTTCCAGTGAGTAAGAGAAGCTGCCCCAGAGGCCGCAGCGAAGCAGCGGCTCTGTGGGCCCTTAACTGAGACACGTGGGCAAGGCTAGTCTGGTGGTAGGGGTATGACGTGAGTGTTACCTCATGAAGAGGAGACAGCAGGATCAGAAGGGACAAAGCAAAAGAGGAGACGGACAGAATGCGAGACGATGACAAAAAGTGAAGGGTGTGTAAGGAATACCACAAAGGGAAGGACAAGGAAAACAAAATTGTGCTTGATCTTTGCATACATGAAAAGCAACATGTACAACATGCCTGTGCTATTTCTAAAAGTCATAGATATTGCACAAGGACCAAATAGGATTGGACAGGAATTCAGCCACAAATCCACAAGCTCCAAGAGGTGGGAAATTGATGCAAACTTAAAAGACTCAACTTAAATCAGCATTTCAAGCCAATAAAATACATGTAATTGCCAGGGTGACTCTGAGTTCCTAGAAATGCTGAAGTACAATCAAAGAAATCCAAGTATTTCATTCTTGAGCATGAAACTGAACACAAAGCAGAAGAATGCGATATTGGTTTCTTGGTCATTTCTGAGCACACCTGTGTGTGCTCAAGGAGTTCCTTGGACACAACTTCACTTTAACTTTCAAATCAGTCCATCTATCCCCTGCCCACATAGGAAGTTGGTGCCAACTCCCAGGTGGTACAGATGTTGGCCTATGGCAAATCCCAAGGGGTGATTAAACCAATTTCTTATTATTGAATTCATCATTCTAACTCATGAACATTTCTGGAATAACTAACCAAGGAAATCTTGGATGGCTTATTAGAGGTGTTATATTCAAATGTGAATCCTTCAGCAGACCTGAACTTCACTATGGAGAATTTTGTTAGCTTTGTGTGATCAGAACCTGAGTCAAAGGAGAAAGTGGTAATTAAAAGGCAACCAAGTTCACATGGTTCAATAACAACATTTTCACTGTCTGGCATCTGATGTCAGGACTCTAGTACAATGACCCTCTTTCACTTGCTGAACATCACACTTAAGTAAGTAACACTGCTTGCCAGATCACATCTAGAATAAGAGATAGAAGCTTTCCAAGCTGAAAAGAAATATTTGGGAATGAGAGTGTTAATAAAATTTTTCATTGAACTGAGACCACACAAATTTATGAACTAGCTCTCCATCATGGGTGGGAAAGCTTTCTACCATGGACCACTGAGATATATGTAACACCACGCATGGGCCATATAAAATTATCAACTTAAAAATTAGTCTGTTATAGATTTACTGCATTTCAAGTCCCATCTGTGGTTGCCTTGGTAGAGCCAGATCAAATGATTCCACAGGCATTACATGGCCCGCAGGCCTGATGTTCCTCATCCCTGCTCCGGAGGATAAATATCTCATAGGCAGTTTTGATTTATCCGCCAAGATACAATTAACTCTCAGTACAGTTCCTCTACAGCAAATCTTAGGAGCTCAAAGATGTTCTCTAAAGAACATTAGAATGTAGGTGTGAATGAACAACCTCAGTAATATTACACCCATGAGCAGCACAGGTTGACAACACTAATCTTTCATTAGCACAAAGTATTTCACCAGCATGGATTAAAGGAAGTCTTATGAAGAAATAGGAAGTTACATCTGAAGAACACCTAAGAAAAGGAGCACTATGGAAAGTCTTTCTGCAAGTAAGGATGATAACGCCAGCATTCTGCACCTGTGACAAGAGAATACCTCACGAAACACACACCTGAGTACCCCTGGAGGAAAGCACAACAAGAGAGCATAACGAACAACCACAGGGCTTCTTCAGATTCTTAGATCTCAAAGTGCTTCTTCTGCCCGGGAAACAGTGCTTGCATCGTGATGCCCTCACCCACCTGCTCTCACAGATGTCTACCTACAAGACTACCCTGCTCAATCATTTGCCAGAATATCCTCACTTTCTGTGCCAACAAGGTATGTGCTTCCAAAAAGCTGTTGAAAGATCTAAGACCTGCACAAAGCAAGATCTTGTGAACTGCCAAAGCAGTTCTCATTAGGAGTCAATGGAATTGGGTTGCTGTATAGTATAATACATGGACACACTGTCCATGTCTCACAGTGAATGTGAGATCCTGCTGTCTTAGGGCATCCTTCCAAAATGACCTCCTAATTCAAGGGACTTACCGCAGTGCAGAATGCCTTCCAGAGCGAGACATGCTGTTGCCCACAGGTGATGGCAGGTTGCTCCCTCTGTGCAAGTCCTCGATGGACCTGCTCCAGGGCTTTGATTTGTCCACCGAACTCTCCACAGTACTCTCCACACTCTCAAAGTCAAAACTACAACAAAACAGAAATGCCACCAGGGACTCGAAAATCTGTTTGCATACATACACGGATGTGTGTAACCTGCCATTCCTACAACATGCTGACACTCAAGTATGTGAAGTCTGCAAACAAAGCAAACTGAAAGGGAAACAGAAAATCTGTTCTGAGGATGCCATCTTAGCTTCAAAACACAGAACGACAGACACAGGGCCTGACAAAGTAAGAACAGAACAATGGATGAAGGTTGGTCCGCGAGCTGTGGGTTGTTGTTAAGCTGTTTAACAATGGATGATGAAAACACAACAGCAATGAACTACATTTTACTCTATGGCTTGCTAATGGCTAACACTGCTAGAATGGAAGAGAAGATTCTACAGCTGTCTTCATTTTGCTCTAACAAGTCACAATGCTAGGCTTATGCTAATTTATTCATACCCATCAATTTTCACTGAGCATTTTTCTTCTGGCTTGCTGGCAAGTGTGTTTTTCCAACCATATGTGTTACATTACCAGCAAAGTTGCGGAATTGCTTTGATTTTGGAATCTCTTTCCAATGTGGTGCTCTTTTAAGTAAGACTGCTATTTCTTTGACATTCTTTGAGGTTATTATTCATGTTAGCCATGTTAGAATAACCAGCAAGTTAAGTTGCTCACTCCTGTATAGCTTGAGTAACATTCTGCAACAGAAAGGCCTTTGTGTTCCATGGTTTTCTAAGCCCACAAAATATGCAATTTTGCCTTCTCAAAATAAAAAAAAAAAAAAAGAAAAAAGAAAAACGCTGTGTTGCTTTTTTCAAGCAACACCTGATCAGATGTAGCACAACAGAAGGCAGCAATCAATAGCATCCCCTGAAAGATTTTAGAGATTGCAGAAGAAAAACAAGCAGTAATTCATACTGAAATTTACAATAGGAGTTTTAATAAAAAGATGACTGCAAGAATAAAATATTTGGTTATAATGTCCATGTAAAAACTATGTAATACTCCATTTTTAGGGACTAACTGGACAGCACAGATTGAGGTAAAGTCAGTAGAGGGGGTTTGATCAATCTCATCTGTCTTGGGATGCAAAAGGCAATGCTGAACAGAAATCAGGGAGAATAGCATAATTTCATAAAGCCTTAATTACTAAAAACTGAAGGCTATTATTGAGTTTGGATAAGACGAACTCAGATGACGTGATGAGATTATTTACGGTGTTGCCATTGGTAACAGGCGCCCACATAATTCAGCTGATCAGAGAGTAAGTTCCTCTGAGCGCGTGTGCCCTTTGACACAGTGGAAAAGCCAACAGTTAACTTATTGAAGACTTTTGCTAAGGTTAGAACACAAACCTGCTGCCTCACATTCCACAGTGCAGGAAGTTGCTACATAACAAGGAGAAGTAACAAAATTTCCAGCCCATTAGTTTTAAGAAAGATAACACATTTTGTACCTCTCTATAATTTATTACGAAATTGAAACAAACCGAAACAAACAAAAAGAATGTTTAAAAAAACAGATACCAAGCCAGGAAACGAAAGTCCGACTTGTGATCTTTCATGGGTCACTGTCTTATGTTACAGATTGTATTAATTTTTGTATGGTAGCACACTCTCCTTGTTGGTGCTAGGTTAGGGTGCATTTGAGAGAGCTCATTCAAAAAAGCTCTATTCTCATGTGAATAAAGCTTCATTGCAGCAAATACAGAGTCTGGAATATGTAATTCTCATCCATCAATGCCTTCTTCCCTGACTTTTTGTCAATCTTACTCTTTAAAATAGACAGCATGAAAATACTCTATTTTGTTCCATAATATGAAAACTCAGAGATTTCAGCTATGAAAACGAGGATTATGCTGCAGAGGACTGTTTCTGAGAAAGATAAGCCCTTGTCTATAAATTCTCCTAAGCCTCTACTATCTAATATATGAGGCATGAAAAATCCATCTAGCCAGTTTCAGCAAACAGTTTGGTTTCTGAATTTGTAAAGCAGGAATAATTATAGCTTTCTCTTCACAGATTCTTGGGGAAGTAATGGAGATTACAGGATAACATCTGGGTAGGTCTTAAGACCAACTCTTGCAATGGTGCGATACAAAAATCAAGTTTTTTTTTCTTTACGAATAGAAGAAAAACAATACCTGTGTTGCAATATGTTATAGTCAAGTACACTATTGCCTCAGCCTATGTGTGACAGTTTATCTGTGGATATTGGAACATTTGATTAAAGAAAAAGGTAACGTTTCATATAAATACATATCTTCCAATTTTCTTGTAATATTTCAGAAGCCAAGAAAACAATTTCATGAAATAACAAAAACAAGACAGACACGGGGACACACATGCGCACACACACACACACACACACACCCTGCTCTCTCCCAGTTATTTTCTCTCTCAGGTTTTTGCCAGATAATTATAGCAACACAGATACATGTAACACAAAAGACCAAGTCTCTGGCTGCCCCTTCCTCCTCCAGTGCTTTCTATAATGACTGTCTATGCATTTACTAGACATACATTATACTATTTTCAAATAAAAAAGAGTCACTCTTCAGCATCTTCCTTTATTTACTCAATGTTACAACAGTACACACAAATCTGTGAAGGGAAAAGGGCATTTAACCTGGCAGCTAAGACATTCATGGTCCATATCGTAGTGTTTGGGCTGGATTCCTGGCTTAGGCTCCTGACACCATTCCCACCCATCTAGACCAGGAGAAGCACTGGCTGACAGTTCAAAAGATTGAGTTCCTGTCATCCCCATGGGAGGTGTGGACTGGGTTCTAGGTTCCAGGCTTCAGCAGAGCCCAGTCCTGATCACTGCTATAGTAGTTTGGAGCACAGAATCAGTGAATGAGAGCTTTCTCTGTCATGTAAAGAAATAAAAAAGGTAAAATACATAGAAAATGGAATTAACAGATAAGTTTATTTTGCTGCAGCAAAACTGAAATACATGCATAGGGGTTTTTCCACAAAGCACATTTTTTTCCATGAACTTTCTGAAGCTCCTTTGCATGCACAGGTTTTAAAACACTTTTTCCAATGTAAGCTTTTAAAATACCTTCAGTTATCACATCTATCTCTTTCAGTAACTGCGGGGGTACTATATTTAGATTTATAAGCTTTATTTTGCAAATAAAGTCTCCTTTAAGGAAGACTTCTACCCATCTGCTCTCATTCTGCCTTGGAGGCATTTTTTTAGACACCAGTTATGTGATTTCATTTTATTTCCCAAACAGAACAACTCCCCCTTAAACATTACATGTTGCTGGTGTGTCCCTTGTTTATTGTGGTGTATAACTTAACCATAGAGTACCATCTTCTGTGACCACATAAAATTCAAATGCAGGCAATCCCAGGTTTACTTACGTTACTGCATACTGTGCAAATGACAGATACTCCACTAGAAAATCAAGACCTTTATTTTCTTCGTTCAAAAACTCTCTGACCCACCTGTTGAAAAAAAAAATCACTGATGAGGTGGATCATGGGAAAAATACAGTGATCATTTTGTCTTACCACCAGAAACAATTCTTTCATTGTCTGAATGGAAACACAGAGGAAGGTCTAGACTACTGCACATGAGACACAGATATAGCAACTGAGAGAATCCCATCATTTCACTGTGTTAGAATAAGGGGCAAAAGGCACACAAAGTCCATTTTTGCATGGTCCTGATTAGGAGATAACCTATAAAGGAACTCACTAAATGATCTTCTTTTGCCACAGTTGATGGACAGCCTCCTCATTGAAGCAGCCAAGGTTGCATGGGGTTTGAGGCAAACTGGGAACAAGACAATGTAACCACTAAAATCCAGGCCTGATGCCAAACCTCAAACCTGCATTCCACTCCTTCTTGGCACGATGAGCTATAGAAACCACTAAACTATCCAATAAGATTCCAGTGTTTATGGGCTTCTGGAAATTCAATAGGGATAATGATTTGCTTAATTTTTTCCATGTATATTAAAAACCTTTGTAAAAGCTGCAGGCACCGCAGACCATCACTAAGACCCACACATGACAAATATCATTTTGTTTAAAAATGCTTCTTAAATCATACCACTTTACATTCAAATAGTGCTCAAGACATCACCAAGCATGACTACCCATTTTTAGTTGCTCTTCCAAAGAGGTCCAACAGGCAGCTGAGCAGAATCTGCAGTTTCTGTGGATAAGTATCTCATAGCCCTTTTTACAGATTTGCTCCAGGACATTTGCATCCAAAGAACAGGGTAGGGGGGTTAGACTGAAACTTTCCTGGGTTCACCTCCAGCCAACATAAAAAGAGGGTCCGCATTTAACTCAGTGTATCATGTCACAGTCACTGGGCTTGAGACCTAGCTCTGCTTCCAATTCCAGCTTCCCAGTGCACACCCAGAGACATAGCAGTTACAGCTCTAGGACCTGGATCTCTCATCTGTATGAGAGAAAATGGAGTTTCTGGCCCAATCCTAACTCTTGGGGACCCACGGGTAGTGAACCAGAGGACGGGAACTTCCTCAATTTCTCTTTCTCTGCAATGACTAAATTAAATTTTTTTAAAAAAAATAAAGAGGAGAGCTAGTATTGCTAAAATGATACTTGAAGTACATGCACAACAGTATTCCATAATGGAACCTTTTTTCCATGAGCAAAAAATCAAAAAGGTAGAGCAGCTATCATGACAGCCACCTTTGCTGGGCAATATTGCCATGTGTCTCTCAGACTCTTTGAGATCTTTATCTCCAAAGCAGAAAAAACTCCAGTGAAGTCAGGATGCCTGTTTTTAGTCTAATTGTTTTAGAGTGGGGTTGTTTTCTTGCTTTTATTCCCAGGCATGTTTTTACAGTCTTGTCTTCTTCATGACATAAACTCAGGAGAGCAGCAAGGTGGAAAATTCGATAGCAAAAATTGACAGCTTGCCGCAGGTAAATTGCCTCAAACACATGTGTTCAACAGAACTGCATGGTACTCCAATTCACTTAGTTTGAAGGAGGCCAGAGGAGCAAAACGGGCAAAGAAAACATGTCCCATTTGTTCTCATATAGTGGGTTTGTTATGAGATCTGAACACAGCCATCAGGGCCAGTCACTGGTTGAGACTGAAGTGATATCACAGCATCTGCTTCTAGATCCGTGTTTTTCTTTGGTTTGTGTTAATTACTGCCTATGCTGCTAGATTCCTTGAGACCCTAGAGATTTTAAAATGTTGATAATTAGAGATTCAGAAATAGTAAAAAGATCATTTTCTTTTAAAAAAATGGCAGCACACCTCCCTCGTGGGTAACTACTCCCACTGGAGAGCACAAAAACCAGGACAGGGGCAGGGTTGCTAAACAGAAGGGCACCTGCCAGTATGTGTGTGGGCTGGATAGTGGGCTGGTTGTGTCGAACTAAGCTTCAATGCCCACTGATAAGTACCAGAGCTTAATGGGAGGAGGGACAGACTGAACAAGCCTGCAGTACATACTCGCATACATGGGAACTACTAGGGAAGGGAGCAAGCCTGGTGGGGGTTATGGGAGTTGCTCCAGCTGAGCTGCAGCTCCCACTGGTTTGTGTGAGGACCGAGTATGAAGTGGGTAGGCTCAAGATGCTCAAGATGGACCACAATATCCATTGGTCCAAGTGAATGACAAAGCTGGAAACAGAACTGACCCAGCAGAGACTGGTCACACTAAGTAGGGCCATGAGATTAATTAACACGCTGGAGAACCATATACGGGGGAAGATTCTGTGGGAGATATGTGGGCCAAACCCTATGAAAATGCTAGCCCTACAGGTTACTTCGAGATGGAATCGTGGTGGACTAAGCTAGGTGTGACTGGGGAGCTTGCCATTGACCACAGATTGGAGAACCAATGGCAGTCTGGACTAGTTGGGTCAGTGGCACTCGAATGTGCATCCTGAGGTGGGTGTGGGGTGGGCCAGATCGCAACGTTCACCAGCTCATGCAAAGACAAGGTGGGGGACCGACTGTTCCAGGCACTGGCCTAAAGACCAGTGGCATGTATGAGAACCGAGTCTGGGGGGGATCTGGGGAAGAAACTTGGGAAGCTCCCCTGGCAAGTTATAGCTCCCACAGGTGAATAGTTGGTCTGGACCTGGAGGTTGGACAGGCTGGGCAAAGTAGCACCAACAGCTCATCAATGTATGAAAAGGCAATGGAACAGGTGCACTGGGCAGGACTGAGCAAACCTTAGCCCACAAGTAAGATTGGAAACCAGAGTGGAGCACAGGACATGCCCAGCTAGATTTTTGCACCAACTGGTCTGCATGAGCCACAGATGCTACGCCACAGTGTCTAAGGCAGGGGTCGTGACAGGTGAGGGGCTGTGCCAAGCAGAGTCAGAGCAACCACTGGCATGTGTGGAATCTATAGCTGGGAACAGGCCTGGTTGAGGGGCTAAGGGGACACCCTAGCTGGGTGGAGGTTCCCACCAAGGGGTGCACGAGCTGGAGTGGGGCTGCGTTCTGGTCAGGATACATTTGTAGTCTCCCTTGGGACAAGTGTGGACTGGGACAAGACGCACCAGGCCAGGCCAGACTGCAACATCTTCTGGTGTTCCAGAGGACCAGGGTAGATGTGGGACGGACTAGGCAAGGTCTCAACCCCAACTGAGCCATATATGAGCTATATGTGGGTAGGGACAAGCTATGGCTGGGTTGAAAGATCCTACAGCAAGAACCAGAATGGGCTGAAGGCCAGTTAGGAAAAGCCACTGTTCCTGCTAGGACAGGAGGCAAACTGAGTAGTACTGGCTCATGGACCCACTGTATGCACGAAAGCTGGCACTTGGAGGGGTTCTGATGGAGGAGCCCAGGCAACTCCTCTGGCAGGACACAGACCCTACAGGTAAGCATAAGAAAGATAGAAGGATATAGCCAAGAGGTCATGGAATGTCCCATTGGCATACATTCGACATGGGTTGGGGTCTGAATCAGTTCACGTCATCCACTAGCAAATCCGAATGCCAGAACAGAGTGTGGGTCGAGCCAGGTTTGGTCATGATAAAAAGCAGTACACAACACGGAATGCCAAGGTAAGGTTGCCTGAGCCAGATGTGATCGCAGCGCCCAACCAGCACATGTGAGAGCCAAGAAGGGAGGGGGCAGAACCAGCAAGGGATTAAGGGGTGGTTCCCTTGCTGAACAGCCACTCCCACTGGAGAGCATGAGCTGGGATGGGGGTAGACCAGACTAGGCCAGGCTACGACACCTGCGCTCCTCATGTGGACCAGAGCAGGGAAAAACCAGGCTGGGCTGATTATTCCTACTGGTGCAACCTATGATTAGAGTGGGTGAGGGTTGTTGGGGCTAAGCCACAGCATCAGCTCGCAGAATCTGGCACTGGGGGCTAATTCTGTCAAATTAAATCACAGAAACACCTGGAGAGTGCATAATCTGGGAGTGGGAGTGGCCTGAGTGGGAAATAGTGGGCTCCACCCTCTTGGGTTGCCACCCCCCACGGGAAGGCACGAAAACTAGGACAGGGGCTGTGGTGGCTAGACAGACACCCAACAACATCCGTGAAGGCTAGACAGTTGAGCTGGTTAGATGGAACAAGGTTTTAATGCCCATTGACATGTATGAGAGCAGAAGGGAATGTGGGACAGACTGCACTACTCTGCTACACATACTAACAAACCAGGGTAGGGGGCAGGCCTGGTTGGAGTTATTGTGGGTCTCTCAGGCTACCGTGCAGCTCCCACTGGTTTGTGTGAGGGCTGAGTATGCACTGGGCAGAACCAGGCTGGACTGCAAACACCCACTGGTTCCAGAGGAAGACAGGGATGGAAACAGAACCAACCCAGCAACTGCAACCACCAGGTGATCGGGGCGATGGATCACCAGCTGTACTGGGCCCTGTGCTTGCTAGCACATACAATAGTCTGGTCTGGGAACACCTCAGACAGAGTTTCTTTGGGGATCCCGCCAATCGAGCTTTCAGACTCAGAACGCTAACCATCAAATGGCAGAGGACAGAACAAGTCAATCAATCACCTCAGCTATATGTTGGCAATGAAAATGCTGGGCAAACTGAGACGCTATGATGGAGTATGTCAATCAGTGTAATCTCCAACAACCGCATCGTGCTTGGAGTGGTGAGAGTGGCAGCAATTCAGAACTGTTGAATTATCAGAACCACTTGAGCAAGACCCTCAGAGCATGCCCCACATCCGGGACCTGGGGTGGATGGGAGACTGGGTGGAGCTTCTTCCTTAAAATCTCCTTTTAGATCAGATATATTAAGGAAACTATACGGAACTAATTGTCTTACCCATCTTCCTGTAGTGCTTGAACCTTTTTACCCTAATTATGTCAAGACTGTCAAAAATAAAATTAATAAAAAAAATGGCAAGAGACTTCAAAATTAGAACCTACTACCATAATTAGATGGCTAGTATTTCTTTAAATTGAAGCCCTTCCATTCCTCCCAGGCACTTCTACTGCTCTGGCACATGGGTTCTG